AGTTAATGAGAACAGACTATGTATTGCTCCAACTGAAACTCAACTAACTGAATATCTTTGCCTGCTATAGCCGAATCTTTTTTTCCATGTAAAAACTTGTTCTATAAAAGCCTTAAAACAAATTTTTCATCACTTTCATTATTTTCCTTAAAAAAATTACCAAAAGTTACTTATGATTTTTAGGCAGTCAAAGTGGTGTAACCCCTTAAAAACAATATAAGAAAATAATTTGTATTTTTAAAGCAGTGAATTTGTGTTTTTAAAGCAGATTTGTTTTAAAGTATAGAAGCTTAAGTTATTTAAAATTAATACCTTTTTAATTTTTTTTATATGAATTAAAGTTTAAATCCCAGCATTTCTTTAAAATAGATGCTGTAACTATAATAAACGCGACTTTGTCGTTGTCCAAATTCCTATAAATTTTGGAAATAGTTACAAATGTTTCATAATGTATTATTAAATTTGTTAATTAAAATTAATAATATTACCTAATAATTTAAATATAAGTTAATCTATCGTGAATCTCTCGTTTCCGACTTTTTGTACATGCTTGTTTTAATGTGAAACATAAAATGTCATATAAAAAATCTTCAGATATGGCATTGATATGTATAGGCAAAATTTACAAAAATTATATTCATTTATGATCGGTTAAATCTCGATCTCAAAACATTTCCCGGTTTACTTAAATTTAGGTCACAAGTTTGCATTACCAACAACATTTTGGACAGCGAGTCAAGGATTTTTATTTAATTGCTTTATTAAATATACCAATTTTCAATACAATCAAATAAGAGTCTGCAGTAGAGAAATATCTTGTCTGCCTACAAAAACTTGCACCGTGATCGACAACGCATGATCATATCAATACATTTAAGTATGACAGATTTCCTAACCTCAATAGTCGTCAAATTTAATGTTTATATCTCGGTTCGCGGGACAGAGCGACATTTTTTCATTTTATCAAATATTTATTTTTACGCGAAAACGCAACGATTCAGTGTATTTTTATAAAAATTTGAAGTGAACGAGGTCCTCTTAACATTTATCAATTTTGCCTAAGTTCACCTCGAACACGTCTTGGCAAAGATCGCCTTATTTATTATATATATATGTCAAATAAGATGTTTTATGACTGAATTCGTAACTAAGAAGATAATCTTAAGTCTATGCTTATTTTAAACAAAATGTGTTTATGAATCATGTCAAGACCGTTCAAGACGTTTTGAAATAAGATCGTCTTCGATAAGCTTTAACTTGAGATTTTACTCAAGTACCGTCTTATTTTTCGACTATGAATTTAGAGGACATCTTAAGATCGTACTTAAGGCGGTCTTAAGAATAAGTTAAGTTCTGACTACACGGAGAAAATTTTATATTTAAAATTACTATAATGTGGTAGTACCCAGTGAGAAATGACAATGAAATCGACGTCGAATCGACGTCGATTTGACGTCAATTCGATGATTTCGATTTCGAATCGACATCGATTCGACGTCGATTCCATTGTCATTTCTCACTGGGTAGCTGCGGTCTTCATGTAAATCAGAGCTGGGATTAAAGCTGGAAACACAATAGACACAGGTAATAGGCACAGGCAACAGAGAATAACGAGCCATCCAATCAGAACTCTGAGATATAATATCGAACTTATACCCCAAAGCTCTGATTGGACGGCTCGTTATTCCCTATTGCCTGTGCCTATTGCCTGTGTCTATTGTGTTTCCAGCTTTAGTTGTACATTTCGATTCGATTTCGTTGGCGACGCCCACTATTCCCCTCTTGCCGCGCATTGCCTAGCAACGAATCGTCGGATGCTTGTAAACAACACGCGTACCGCTTCATCTCAGGAGCGTTCTTACTTTTAAATATACTATACGAATGGAACTGATAAATCTCCCTCAATTTAAATAATGAATTAAAACTTTCTTTTTAGAATAATTTTAAATTAATAATTAAAAATATTTTTATCAAATATTAATAATAATATTTAAAAAAATAGTAATAATAATATAGTATTTTTATTATTAATATATGTGTATTATTATTATTATTAATATATGTGTATTATTTTGTATCACATTTCGAGACATGGATATATCTTTGTAAAAAAATACTACTGTGCATTGCGCAGTAGTGCTCAGCAATATTTTTTTACAAAAGTTTAACATCCTAAAAGACATTTTAGGACATCCACTGGATAAAGACAAGATAAAATTTGGTCATCCAGAAACATCCTAATAATACCTAAATGATGATGTCCTATGGTAGAATAAGCGAATAAATATCCTCAATTTATTCTAAATACCTCCTAAGTTTTTTCAGGTACGTACTCTGGATGTTTGAAAATCCCTCAACATATATACCTAGGATCAAGTTTTGCTGTGTGGGTTAACCGAGGTTGGTGAAAGAGACTCTATATGTGTCGATGATTAGTGACAAAGGTAAATGTTAAGAAGAACCCCAATTTTGATAAATCGCAGTATCAAACTGAATATAATTTCACATTATGAATTTAACAGGGTGTTTATATATATATTTTAGTTTAATATTCTTATGGTTTCCACGGGTGCTTTCTATATAAAGATTATGCATTTGGCGGGTTTTCTCCGTGTCTAGATCCATTCTTGAAATTCCAACATTTCGTACTAAATTTCCTATGTCATCCTATATATACATGCTGCGTAAATCCTATAGGTATCTATTGTAAGAAATTTAGAGGAAATAGGCACAACAGAGAAGCTACCAGCGTCAGGGCTGTGTGGCTCAGTGGCAGAACGGAAGTCTATCAATTCGGAGGAACGACCAGGCTTGGGTTTGAGACGAGGTACGCCCTGATATTTTTCTCTGTTGTCATCAATTGTTTACACTGTACAAGCTTCTACAGAGGCTGTATTTTGCCTCTCGCACCGTTCTGCCGAATCCAGTATATACTATAGGAAAGTGTACAGATGCTGGGTCTATCTTATATGTCTATGGACATTACTTAAGACAGTCTTGAAATAAGAACGGACTATGAATACCGCCCTATGAATACAGACATGATGGTAATCGTAGAATCGATTTTCATATTGATTATAGCCGTGATGTAGGCTTCATTTGAATTTAATGAAAGTTGGTACAGATCATTTTTTTTTATTAGAAAAAGACGGTGGTAAAACACTCTGCACCCAGGCGTAACAAATCTCTGAAATAGCCTATTGATATAAAATCGTGACAAAGATGAAAGTGATACGTAAGGCTGGATCCTCATACAGACACCGGCGCTTTGACACAGAGCACTGATTGGTGAAAAGCCGGTTGTGGGGGTAAAATTTACTCCCACCACCCGTTTTTCACCAATCAGCGTTCGGTGTCAAAGCGCTGTTGCCCGTATGAGGATCCGGGCTAACAAAACGCTCTACGAACAACTATGGCGCAGTAATAGGATTTTATAACAAACATGCACATTGTTTATCACTTCAATTTTTCATGTTTACTAAATGACATTAATGAGGTTATACAATAGTGGCTGTCCAGTGCCCAGTCACAATCTACAACACCATTCGCCATCCGCCAATCAACGCAATTCATATTGATGAACTTAATAAGATGATATGTAAATGGCACATTATGTTCTATATTTTGATGTCATGAAAATTAATTGAAAAGTTTCTTAGCTTTTTACCCTTTAAATTTTCTTTGGCTCATTTTGTATAAATTTCTTACTTACATCATGAGCCTTTATATTCTCCATTTTAATCTTTTTAATCTTCTCCTCTATTATTTTGAGTTCATCCATTTCTTTTTGGATTTTACGGTTTATTTGATATTTAGCTACCGTTTGTGCCAATGGTCCTAGCTCTCCCTTCATCGCAGCATTTATCATCGCCTATTTATCAAAAAAATTTTTTATTAAATATGTGACGGTTTAGGTCCGTTTCCACCAACGCAGATCATCTTTAATCTCGGTTCAACTTACTCTTTGTCTTTTTCTAGTTCTAAAGATTAGAAAAAGACGAAGAGTAAGTTGAACCGAGATTAAAGTTAATCTATATTGGTGGAAATGGGCATTAGTGTACAAATTACGCAAATTCTTACATCTCGTCGCCTTTTGGCATCGTTGGATGTACCTATCGGATCTGTCTCGGTCTGAGGTCCTAGTTCAATAAGAATTTGAAAATCCGCATGTTCACCTAATCGAAAACCCACGCCAAATCTGGAATCAGTTCCTGTAGATTTCATAACAAAATATCGATATAAGTTAACAAGGATTATGTAATAAGATAAAGTTATATTCTTAACATATGATATACTTAACTTTTTTGATTGGCGATATATTGGAATAAATCAAACTTAGAATGGTCGGAAGCTCTTCTGGTATAATCAGGCTTGTTGCATCTGTGAATTTTATTTTTATATCAATTTTTAATCGTTGGATATAAATGGAAAAATCTATGAAGCCTGTCATGTTTTTTATTAACATAATTTTATCTTAAAAAATGCTTTTATCTCTTACAAAAGAATACAACCAACGCCTCCTATTTAATTTTAACAAGTTTTAGATACGTTAAAATACAGAAAAAGATGTTAATATTTTTAAGGTTTCCACGGGTACTTTCTGTATAGAAGCTGTGCTTCACAGGTTATCTATATCAATTCTAGAAATGCCAACGTTTCATGAACGTTGCAGTTCGTAGTGTACCCGATAAATACAAAAATTTGTAACTGAGCTATAAATTGTATTTATTCAAAATTTTCACATTAAAAAAAATGTAATGATATATTCATTCAAAATTTTGGGTTTTCAAAAATATTTATTCACGAAAAAACTATGATTATACATATTTACGAGTATTCATATTCATTTAAGTATTCAAACAAAATATAAACTGAAAAAGAAAGCTCTAATAAGCAATCGTTACCCTATAACTGACACTTTGATGATTTTAAGTACAATAAAAAAAATAAATTTTATTTTCGTCGTTATAATATTAACACTTGATAAGGAAAACTTAGAAATTAAAAAAACATTTTAGAAAGCAACACATTTTTTATTTATGAGTACAATCTATTTAGATATGATATCAAGAGATACGGTAGTGTCTCGCGTCAAGTGTAGCGAGCGCGAGACGGCCCCGTGTCTTTATTCGAGCTGGCGAGTTGCGAGCACCCGAGATTATCGGATCATTGAGAATACTCAGAAGTTGATTGATTCTGAATAGTCTCAATGGACAACTCGGGTTTAAATTGTATAACTAAACTGTTTTTGTTGTCTATCATACCCTGTATAAACGAAGATATTAAATGTGACATATGTGATACAAAATGTCAAATTTTTAAGATACGTCATCATCATCATCATTATTGCCCTCGGAAATGTTGTTTGTTTCATATTTTAAGCAGCAGATGGTATTCGCCTGTTGCGACACTCATGGGCTGGGTTCAGGGAGACGCTATTAGCGCTATTTGTGTCATTCTATCTTCATCGTCCATTAAATGTGAAACAAGGATAGTATGACACAAATAGCGTTGACAGCGCGCTCCTCGAACGCAGCCATGGTGGAAGAAAATAGATGAGACGGTATAAGAATACAAGGTATTTCATTACCAACGATGCGCAGTCGTCTTTAACATGATGGCTGTTCTTTGACCAATCAAAAATTTGTCCTAAATTTAGGATAAGCATTTAATTGGTTGTTCTAATTTAGGACAAATATTTAATTAGTTGTCTTAATTTAGTGTCTGCTGGCCATTATGCGCAATGAAATATCTTATATTTTTAAACCATGGGTGAGACAACTTGAGGGATGCCAGGGGTGATCCCGATTGATCACGGCTCGATTGGACACCACTAATCCCAGCGACCGGTGCTTAGGAGCTTTGTAGTCTCAAGCGCTGTGAGTGGCTCGTGTCCAATTGAGCCGTGTCCAACTGGGTCCCACCCGTGTTGTGCTACGTTTGTGCCGATTTGTGCCGCAAACCGCAGCTCAATAATATAAAGCGTTTTCCGAAAAAAAAAATACAATTTGCTAGCCATATTAATATTTAGGAACGGAAAACTTCAAACTCCAGTAATTTGCGAACGGTGTGAGATAATCGAATTCTGCGAATTATGCTGAATTGTGCTACTCAAGATCTACAAAGCACGCGCATAAAAAGTCGAGATTAGCTTAAGGCTCGGCTTAAGGAAAAGCTTAAGGCTTTTTCATAAAAATTTTTGAAAAAAGGTAAGGGGCAAATAAAAAATTTAGCATTTTTGGATTTTTTTCAGTTGTGCCGAATTGTGCTACGACAGTACAACAACTTCTACTTATAGCAAAATTTCCTCAGACCAACAGATTTCGCGGTATCGTCAAAGTTATGAATCAGTCGTTAGGATTTTTTGGGGACAAAAAACTTGAAACTCGTGTAATTTGCGAATGGTGTGAGATAATCGAATTTTGCGAGTTGTGCTGAATTGTGCTACTCAAGCTCTACGAAGCATTTATATAAAGAAGATAGGGATTACCTATGTCGACCTATGGTGTTGATAAAAATTGTTGATAATGGTGGTGATAAATAAAGCAGTTGTCATTTTTTAATTTTTTCTAGTTATGTCTGATGGAGCTGAAACCTAACTTAACCCTAACTTAACACCATTTTGAAATGATAAAGTGTCACCAGATGACTTGTTTTTTTTGCACAAGGCATTCCTGCCATTCCTGGCCTTATAAATGTTCAAAGTTGACATATACCGCCGGCATTTGCGTTATCCGATGTACACCGCTGGGAGGTTGCTCGATCGGATTTGTACGTCATAGGCCTAGTTTACACCCAGGGTTCGATCCAAATCGGAATGTAAGAACCAACCAACTGCAGTCGAGTATTCCCCTGTTACAGTCGATTGACAAGGGAATGCTCTCGACTGCAGTTGGTTGGTTCTTACATTCCGACTCGGATTGAACTAGAGCACTAGAAACATAGGTATTCACATCCACCATTTTTACTCCTTTCCCCACTGTTTGTTCTCTCTTCAACCTTCTCTCTTCTCTCTTCAATCTTCTTAGTTTAGCGGCGGAATGAAGAGAGAGCAAGGAATTGAGAAAAGGAGCAAGAGAGTGAATAGGAGTAAAAATGGCGGATGCGAATACTCACGTTTATAGTGCCTTAATTTAACCCTGGCTGTAAACGAGACCATAATAGCTTTAAAAAGGACCGTTTCTATGCGTGCGTGCGTGCGTGTCTGCGTGCGTGCGTGCGTGTCTGCGTGCGTGCGTGCTTGCGTGCGTGCGTGCTTGCGTGCGTGCGTGCTTGCTTGCGTGCGTGCGTGCGTGCCTGCGCGCGCGCGCGCGTGTGTGTGTGTGTGTGCGAACGTCCGCGCGTACATTAGTGTTATCTTATTAATTTTTAACATTACAATGGCACATTCAACGAAGAAAGCAGTCGTGCGACTGTTATAATATTTTTTAGTATACATTGTGTTAGATGGACACATTTAGATCCATTGAGAAATTAACGTAAGACCAATCATATTAAAGTAGTTTACAACTATTGCAAAACTACTTCCTCTGTTAAACGAGCGATCAATGTTAATATAAGATATTTTGATCTCCTTTCTCAGCAATATAAATAATTAAATTGGGATTTACTTGAAAGTCTTTCGTTTTATATTTAGTGTTTTTCACTAAATCGTCGAATTCAATCTATTGCGAACCTTGATAAGAATATGCTACATAATGTTCATTATTGTTATCGCCATATCGAGCTACAACACCCGTTAAAATAAAAATATTTTTCTGAAGTATTTTCGTCGCAAAGTCCGCAAGAAGGTATTCTTTTTGTGTGTTATATTCTATTAGATCGTGCTCTATAAAAATTTATGTACTATATTTTATGTTTCTCTGCATAAGTTGATCACAGTAGATTGATTTATTATTCGGCATACTTTCTAATATAGCCTTAGACAGCTCAGCAAATCCATATTTTTTAATATTTTTATGCGCGTATTTCATAGATCTTGAGTAGTACAATTCGCAGAATTCGATTATCTCACACCGTTCGCAAATTACTGGAGTTTGAAGTTTTTCGTTCCTAAATATTAATATGACTAGCAAATTGTATTTTGTTTTAAATGCTTCATGTTATTGAGGTTTGCGGCACAAATCGGTACAAACATAGTACAACACAACACAATTTAAAAAATTACAGAATTTGAAAAGTGCGGAGCTAACTTCACACACGTGCTTTGTACTAATTAACAAATTATTTTACATCGCTGAAGATGGCTTAAATAGAGTTGAAAAGTCTGATTTTGTTTTAATTTGAAGTAAGTAATCCACAAATATAATTGTTAAATAATAGCGCACGAATTACTGCCCAGTTATTACTCTCAATTGTCTGTTATTTGAATATTAATTTGTTATTAAATCAAGAGTCCATTTTTATCTTATTACTAACTAAATTAAGTTAAAAATTAATTCATTTAAAATTAACTCTTGAACACCACACTATTTTCGCCACCTGATTTCACCACACATGGGTTACGATAACCCTGGAATCTTTTTTTGCTTTTATCTCGGGATCTAATGCATCAATTTTAACTTCTTTTTTTCAATCGATACAACACAGACAGTAAGGAAAAAGAATATATAGATAAGAATATCATAAAACTTCCAAAAACCAAGATATTTTGAAAAAAAGGAAGAAAGAAATTTCAAAATTTAAAAAAAAATCGTTTTTTAAATAAATTAGTTATTTTCCAAAAAAATGATACAAGGTTTTAATTTACAGAAATCGAAACATATTAAGTTGTATTTTAGGAAAAAAAGTACATTATTACGAACTATCCTAAAAAATATATTTATTCGACAAGGTTGAATTTGGGTGATTTTCAAGTAATACGATAAAGTTAGTGCAAAAGTCTTTATCACTAAGTATAAGCGTATTCAGGGGGGTGATCCCGATTGATCACGGCTCGATTGGACACCACCAATCACAGCGACCGGTGCTTAGGAGCTTTGTAGTCTCAAGCGCTGTGAGTGGCTCGTGTCCAATTGAGCCGTGTCCAACTGGATGCCACCCAAACTACTGCAATAATATCACAAGTTAAATTAAATTGACAATGTGCTAAAAACCTTAAATAAATTTATTGCGAAAATATTACTTCGGCCAGGACTTGAACCCGGATCTCTTGTATTACGTACGAGCGTCCTAAGCCATTAGACCATCGAGGTAATATTTTCGCAATAATAATAAATTTATTTAAGGTTTTTAACACATTGTCAATTTAATTTAACTTGTGATATTATTGCAGTAGTTTAATTGCGTTAGATTAAGTCCGGAAAAATTTCGGCGCGCAGTTTGAATAACTACAAAAATATGATATATGTGCATGTACATTATATAGGATATAGATAATTCACTGGGAATTATTTAGGCAAAAAAGATCTAGCTTTGACCGTCATAGGCCTGAATACGCTTATACTTAGTGTTTAATTCTTGTCGGTCCAAATAAAAAATCTTATTATTGGTTATACACCCTGTCTGCAAAAAAGCGTTATTGTTCTTACATATACTGATTATTGCGAAGAATATTACTAAGGCCTCGGTGGTCTAATGGCTTAGGTCGCTCGTACGGAATACAAGAGATCCGGGTTCAAGTCCCGGCCGAGATAATATTTTTCGCAATAAATTTATTTAAGGTTTTCAGCAC